GTGGCGCTAATGTGATTCCCGTACCCCGATTTGTCGGGAGTCACAGCCAGTCGGCACCGGTCGCGGACACTTTCGTCAACGAAATTCCCCTGTATCGATTATTTCGTAATTATGCTGCTAGCGATCTCTTCCCTTCCCTCGTCGCGTGGATTCCGTTAACGATAGAATCGCTAACTCGGTGGAAGTTGCGCGATTGGCTAATAATAATGTGCGTCTCGTGCTTGGGAAGATCAATTTCATACATAATACTTAACGCTTCAAGACGAAGACGCTTCAAGTACACGAAACTGGCAAGATACGAGGCTAAATTATACATCGAACGCTTGAGCAATAGAGAAAGGGGGAACTACACTGATCTCTTGCTATTCTTGCTATTCAAGTAATTAAATCGTTTGTTTTCAACTCAGTATTAACACTAGGTTTACGGGCATTTATTGTACATATCATTCTATTATTCCTAAAAGAATCGATGCTCGTTTATTTAGATCGTGGAAACTGGAGATTCGATAGTAGGTAATTGGAGTACACGTCAGTGTGACCGCATCAATCAAAATCGGCGTAAACGTTTACAAAATAATATTTCTGAAATCCAATATGCGTCAATTTCACGCGTTCCGTGAACCTAGTGTTAATTTCGAAAGAGTTAACGGTTAATCCTTTTCAAATACCCAGTGCTTAATAGTTTTCTAATACTTGGAGCTTAATGCTTTCTTAATACCGAACACTTAATGCTTTCCTGATACTCCGGTGAAACGTCTAACCCCCAGAAACCAAGGGGAAGAGTCCCTTAAGTCCCAAACGCAGAGAACGCGCGGCGAATAATCGATGGCGGTAACAGATGTTCCAGCCGGCACCGTGCAATAAGAATCTCCAGAACCGGAACGATCGATCCGGCGAGCTGTTGTACAATTTTTACCGCAATTTCCGCGTGGCCGTCGGTCGCCGCGTGTAGCATTCGCCGACTCTCAGCGAAATTCCCGTCTATTAGCGTCGAATGCCGGCGTAACGAACGCACCGGTGTGTGTTTACCAGGGAACAAAGGAGAACCGTCTCGAGCGTTATGAAATGCTCAATAAATTGGAAGAGGAATAGTAATCGCCGGGAAAATCGTGAAAGCGGACTCGCGGAAAGGGCATTCGATTAATTAATTGACGAAGGGCGGCCGATTCTTCCGCGCCATCGACGCTGCAACGACCGCCCGATTCTTTTATCATCTTCCTTCCTTCCTTCCCATCTTCTTTCTCTCCGCCCTTCGCCGTTTCAAGTCCGGCCGTCTGCTCGCCGGCACAAAAGGAAGGACGAATCCGCGGCGGACGCTTTTAAACGGATAAAAGAGCCCTTGCTGTATGATTTTCCCCGCGACTAAGCTCGATTGAGCAATTTCAATGTCAAACATTCCCGCGAAATGAACGGAGGAATGCTTCGTTTGCTGTAAGCACGCGTCGACTCTCGTAGGAAGTCGCATTATACGCTGATTCTAAGTAAGATCTCTTTGATATCGTTAACCGTTGGACTTTTCCCCGGTGAATCGTCAACGATAAAGCAGTTTCATCGAGCACAGTTGTAAAGGAGATCCTAAGAACACGGCTTAAAAAGACGCGAATTCACTGAACAACATTCTGTTGCAACGGTGCGTCAACATCGCGATTCTACCTTCGATGGAGACCTTCGAAAGAAGCTTCTTCAACTCCGACACCTTTTCGAGTGTCGTCTCGCAAGGGTTAAGCCAATTTAGGCGGTCCCATAAATTCCGGTTCTTCACGGCCGCCGCCTCTCCGTTTCGTGCTCTCCGATCAGTCCCGTCATATTTCCTGGTTTCGCTCGTCGTTGCGAACGGCCCCCGCGGCGACCTTAAATCTCAACCTTCGGGGAACGGATCGCCGCGGCGCGCGGAAGGCTTTTCCCTTCGGCTCTCGAGGATTTATCGAAGATCGCGGTGAAGGGAACGCTTCGCTTGCAAATTAGCGGCAGGCTAGAGAAAACATGTTTCTGGGGCCAAGGGAGCTTATCGGGTTGCTCGATGGAAGCAAAGTCTCTTTCGAAAACGCGGTTCCTGATTCGAAGACTGCAGCGATCCTGCTTCGAGAAACTGATCTATTAAACGGCGCGTCTTAATCTCCTTTCGCGTGCGTGTGCGTGTCTCGTTGTTCTCGGGGAGCTGTTTATAGAGACGAGGGTGTAAGAAGGCTCGAGCAATCTCCCGAGTCGAGACGAATCCCCTGCGACTTTTGATTAAAATTTACCGGCCCCGCGTTCCACGGGCGAAAGAATTGAAGCTGGGCTGGACGGAAAGCGACGTTCTTTCTCGTGGAACAGACGGAAAGCCGAGCCCGTAACTGAACACGTCTCCTCGCCTTTGCCCTCGTAACTTCGCGTTCTATAGCTCTCGTTCCTTATAACTGTCGTCGCGGCGATCCCTCGATGCGAGGAAGAAATATAACACTGTGGGAGCGTGATGGTTAAATTATACCCGTGTCAGGATTATATTAAAAGAGGATATTCATTTAAAAACTCGCTGAATCGAATACAGGAGACGAGGAAGCGGCCAATTTCGAGACACACCACTGTTTCCGCGACAATATTATCTTACGATCTCTGATTTATAGATTGCCCTATATTGCTGGAGGAGCGTCAACGTCGAGGAACGCTCGACCGACCACGCGCAATCCTCGGTTCATAGAAAACTGCAATGCATTGTCAGCGACTCGCGAAATGACAGTGACGAGCAATTTCTTTGTTCGGTCCATTCGATTCGTTTAATTCATTTAATTCATTTAATTCATTTAATTCATTTAATTCACTTAATTCGTTCAATTGATTCAACTCACTCAATTCGTTTCATTCTTCTTCCCTATGAACCGATCGAAATGCGAAGCGTCTCTTACGCGACAAAACAGAGCGCCTTTAATTTCCCATGGAAACAGAGGCTGCCCGAGAATATCGCGTCGGAACGCAGTGAAAGCGGAATATTCGAGCGACAAAGCAGTTACGAATCCGCTCGTTCGGCCTCTCGGACTCTCCGCGGGGCGCCGCGGCAACACGCTCGTTCGTGGACACTTTTGGCCGCTCGTCGAGCACGGACACGGACGCGGTTTGAAAAGGAAACATTAAGCACGCCGGCGTGCGCGCGCGACACGAGCCACTCGACGCTCCTGGCGAGTATTTAATATCATAGTATGTATCCCCGGGCTGAAAAACTGATTTCACGAACGAGAGCGTGCTCGCGGATTAATTATGCGCCCCGCGGAACAGTCCCGGCCTCCGTCACCGTCGCGTCGCGGTCGTTTGATATCTCGAGTGGGTAAATACGCGGAGAAACACCGGTAATTGAGGACTCGAAAACGTTCCGAACCGGCCCCGGCGAGTTTTCGCTTCACTTGAAACGCGCGCGCGTTCACCCCGCCCCGTTTTTCTCCTGCTCGGTCCCGAAACTACGCGCGTCCCGTTCCTGCGCTCTCCGTTTTCTCCGGTTTACACCCGAGTATTCGGTCTCCGAATACTCGGGAATGAAAGACGAAATGTTTCCTGGGACGTCGACTGTTCGTCAAAGGGGAAATTCCTTTAACTCTTTTACAAGTGCTCTGTCGTTAACGATAGAACTACCGAACATTTCGAATCAGATTATTATTTTTTTATGAGAACCATGAAACTGCAGTTCTTCAACGAAATAACGCGAAAATGAGTAAACAAACAGGAAAACTAAAACTCAGCGCAAAATAAGAAAGAAACGCTACGAAACTTCATGGTGCCTCTAATTTCGAGTCCAGCCGATTTACCGACGCAGGAAGCGGCGCGATAGAGTGGGTTTCCCGTCGTTTAAAGCGAACGAGATAAAACTGGGGGATCGTAAAGCGAAAATTGGCATTCGAGCAGAGCTATCGTGTTACCGGGCCGTAGTCCGCGGTATCGTGTTCCGCGATGGCAACGATCGCGACACGCCAACGCCGCGACGCGATGTTACTTACATACCGGACACGACTTTGCCCCAGATTACGCGAGGAACGGCAGGATATTCCAGGATCCAGCCTAAATACGCCGCATCGGCGAAGTTTCCGTGCCTCGTTCCGGGAATCGCGTTCCGCTTGCCGTTTATCGCGCGACGCCGATGCGCGCCGATGAATGGAGCCGCGCGCGCGGACGTAACGCTCTTTTCCGGACTGCTTTCCCGTCGTTTCGCAGATAACGCGGGACGAGCGAGAGCGACGGCGGTTGAAACGCACCGAAAACTCCGGATTCTCTTGAGACGAATATGTTCGTCAGAGAACATTCGAACCGTGTGCGTGCGTTCGCGGTTGCCGAGCATCGAATGGCGGGGTTACCTTATGAAAGCGAAAAGAGAAAGGACTGTCGGGTGCGACGAAAAAGGGGACAGCGACGGAAACGCGGTTCACTGTGGAAAACGAAGCGAGCGAGGTTCAATTGTCGGCGTTCTTCTTTTTTTCGTGTCTCTTTATCATTGAATTTATCGCGCTGTGCTAGTAAATTGATTGCGTATTGCGTGAATTCACATTGAGAGGTATAATATTGTACCGATAGATTCTACAAAACATTCGCAATAACGTGTCTCACACGCGTCGAGCGTCGAGCGGTCGAAAGGTTTCGTTGTTGCCAGCGATTCCTCGCGAATAATCGTTTCGTATTTCGCGCGGCCGGCTCCGTTTCCACGCGATTTTCGTTTAACCCGATCTGCCAAGATATCCGACACGTTTCTCGTGTACACCCATCGCTCGCGAACGGGATACCGTTTCGTGCGAGGCACTCTTTTCACGGGATGGAAGCATATTCTTTTATTTCGCAACGTTCAACGTACTCTCGTTAGATCATCTTCGAATATAGTTCCATCTTCAGCAGATGCCGAGCAGATATCAAGCGCTCATTATTCAAATATCCAATGTAAATTATCATTAAGTTAGTTTCAAGAAACATCTACATCTCATCGGAAAGTACTGAATATTTCCAACGAAAAACTAATCCAAAGGATTAAGATACAAAGTCCTTACCTCGGCAGAGAAAGACGCGACGCGTGAAAATCTTCGATCGTGTTCGTTCCATCCACAACTGGTTGGAAGCTCGTTGTATCGAATTCGCGAGGATTCGATGGGATTACGTTCGCGAGGTCGCCGAGCCTCGGCGCAGGGCTCCGGTCGGCCCAATGTTGTCGGAAAGTTTCCGCGACTCGCCGAGTGTGTGTAGGCAACTCGAAACCACTCAGGCGAAACCGCCGCGTTTGCCTGTCGAAGTATCGCGGTGTGTACACTTCCCGGCGTCCCCGAAGAGTGACTCAGGCCTCGGGAAAGGATCTTCGGCAGCTTAAACATGTCCCAGGTCGTGTAACGCGTCCATTTTCTTTATCCCCCCCGGCCTCGACCTCGTCCGCTTTCCCTTGTCCTTCCGCCCACCCAGTCGTCGCTCTTGTTCCCGATCTGTCGCGAAAGTTTCTTCGGCGTGTCGACGAAGTCCCGCCGCGTCGCAAAGATAACAATGAAATTACGAACTTGTTCTTTCCCCGGGCAACTCGAACCTTCAGCCGAATATGTCGATATCCGAACAGCATCGCGTCCCTTCTTCGTTGCTCCAAATGCATTCCAGACTCCTGTAAACGGTAAATCGTTAATGTTTCATAAATATCGCACAGAGCATTAACCCCTTGCCGTACAATGACGAGCGAGACTCGCGATGAAGATTACTAAACTAATTTAACAACTAATTTAACAACTATTTTTAAGTTATCGAAGGAATGGCTGTATCGATCGCAGACGAGAAATAAATCGTGCAGGGGGTTAACGCACGAGCAAGAGAATTTAGGTAACGGAAATGTTTCGGGACTACGGGAATTCTTTACGGTAAAATCATAGATGAAAAGGCGGAACGCAGCTAGAAGAATGGAAGCGCGGAACGTGCCGCGAAAGCATGAAAAATAGATCAAAGAGATCGAGCCCGCCCGACGCGGTATCCATTCACGCGCGAAATAAAAGAAACGATCGAGGGGGCGCGGCACGTTGCCAGGTCCGTTAGCGGATTACGAAATTTGATAACGTTCGAGTTAGTCTAACCCGAATGCGAGGAATTCCTGTTCGCGCAAGGAGTTCCAATTACCGCGACCCCATTCGCCGTGCGTTCAGCTTTCCTCCGGCGAGATTGTCTGACCGAAACCGACCGTACACCACTCCGCTCGCAGTGATTCAACGTTCCTCTGTTCCGGCGCGAGGCCGGGACGTCGCACAGTGAAACGTCGACGTTTCCTTCGCTAGAAATCAATTTCAAGTCCTTCGTTTGTTTAAGGAACGGAGAGTCTGCTAACAGCGAATGAAATGAGTTTCTTAAACGATACGAATGTTAAGAGCGCTGACCCTTAATTGTTCCCAGTAATCCTATGGAAAATAATGATCAATTCCTTCGTGACACCGTCAGAGAACGTTCCATTACCAATCAGTTTATCCTGATTTATCGAAACGCTACTTCCGACCAGAGAACCGAAGATCTTGCCCAGCAAACATCGCGTCGAAACGGTCGAAAGCGAACGGAACGAGTCGGTGGCTGGTTCGCTTCGATCGGTCCGCGTGAAATTACCTCGTCGCAAGAACAATACTCCCGAGGAAAGGTAAAAAGCCCGTTGCACGGGACGAGTGGTCGCAGACGAACAAAACATCCGCTTCCCGTTTTAACGATGCCTCTAATAGTAGCGCAATGCTGCATTCGTCTGGACGTAAGCTCCCAGTCGGAGGCGGGCTACTTTGTCCGTGGTCCAGCCTGTGGTCGGCTCTTTCTGTATAGCAACCACCGCGGTAGGCGTAAATGAAACGGTAAAGTCGAAAGTCGAGCATTGACAGATTCAATCTTTACGCTGCAGGATTGGTCAAGCTTGGGGTGCACTGCGTGTTGGGCAAGAAGGTGGCTATCAAGATCATCAACAGGGAGAAGCTGTCGGAATCGGTGCTGATGAAGGTGGAGCGGGAGATCGCGATTATGAAGCTGATCGACCATCCTCACGTGCTCGGCCTGTCGGACGTGTACGAGAACAAAAAATACCTGTGAGTATCCCGCGGGGAGCGCGCGCAGGCGGAGACGCGAATCCGTCGCGGAAATTTCACGGGCGAGTCGGGGATCTCGAGGAAATCTCGCGTCCCGCTCGAGGATTCATAGGCCTCTGGAAAGTCGTTGAACTTTAATTCGAAATGTCTGTTCGGAAAGAGGTACGCGCGTCGAGCTATGCGGGAAACGAACGACGAATGAGAGAGAGAGAGAGGGAGAGAGAGGAGAGTGGCGTGGTCTACACGGTAGACAAAAGTGTTTCAGCCACGGGACCCATTACTCACGGCGACGGACGGGCGGATGCACGCCTGGAAAAATACGAATGCGCGCCGACTGAAATTGCACTTTTTCGTTTCAGATACCTTGTTCTGGAACACGTCTCGGGCGGGGAGCTTTTCGACTATTTAGTGAAAAAGGGTAGACTAACGCCGAAGGAAGCGAGGAGATTTTTTCGACAGATCATTTCCGCGTTAGATTTTTGTCATAGTCATAGTATATGGTGAGTACATTCCGTACACCTGCGACACTCGCTGAAATTCAGGGAGGAGCAGACGAGACGCGTGTCCCTCCCGTTTGCGACGAGCGTTCGGGTGGATATTAGGTGAAACGAATCATTTCGATTCTCTAAGACCTCCGAGAAATTGAATTTTCGCGTGAAGATTCGGTGAAGCGTCGGTAGAAAGCAAGTACGCCCGGATTTATTTAGATTTCATTTCGCGTCGCGAATGCCGCCCCGCGCGTCGTTTAACGTCGCGGAAACTTTAGACGGACGAGAATGAAACGAACTACTTACGAGTTCTTAGGGAGACGCTCGATCCATCAAGTTTACCCGTAGCGTCCCTGCCGGCCCTCGCGGAATCCATCGATGGAATATCGAATTTCGCAAACATTCAACGTTTCCATCGATTTCGACTAATGAAATTACGCGGACGTGTTTTCCGATCGTCTATTCATAACCCTTCGCGGACAAAAAATCTTTTAACTACACAAATCTTGCAACGTATCGAGCTAAATTGTACATGAAATGTTTAAACAATAGAAAAAGAAACAATTAAATCATTCGTTTGCAACTCAGTATTCCAAACCAGAAAATTTCATCAAAACGTCAACGTTCGTCCGCGAAGGGTTAAATCTCCGAATTCAAAACTCCGAACGAACCAACGTCAAGTTTTCTAGGAACAACAGCCCCAATCGCGAAACAAGCGTCTATAAACCCAGAGTTAATTCAGGCCGAGCGAGCATCGGTTCACCGTGAAAAATGCGCGGGGCGCGACCGGTCACCGTTGCCGAATTCCTTCCGGTTAATTTCGCGCGGCGTTAAACGACTCGATAACGGCGGCGAGAGAAAAACGGGCCGCGCAGAAACGAGGGGTTCCCGAGGCCGCACGGCAGCCTGCCAATCGGGGAGGCCTACCCCAATCGAATAAATACAGGAACGGACCTAATTTCGCGCGAGGGACACCGCGAAACATTGGCTGCGATCGATCCTCCATTGAAATTAGCCGGCCCAGGCCCGGCTCGCTTAATCGAATCGCGCCCGCCGCTTTCCTGTTCCAGTCATAGAGACTTGAAGCCTGAAAATTTGTTACTGGACGAGAAGAATAACATTAAGATCGCGGACTTTGGGATGGCGTCGTTGCAGCCGGCCGGCTCCATGCTGGAAACCAGCTGCGGCTCCCCTCATTACGCCTGCCCCGAAGTCATTCGGGTAAGAGTTAGAGCTGATACGCGCTATCGGTCCGCTCGGCATTCTCTCCGTACCTACCGCTTTCGATGAACGAAGATAGAGCCGGGACACGCGCAATGTAAACAACTGAAGGACATTCGATCGAATAGATGAAACAGAGACCTGGCCGATAGCGTGTATCGAGACAGCCGAACAGTTCGCAGTCGGTGAAAAATTTCATCCCAGATCCTCTGGTAAGACCCAATCGTTCTCGCGCGGAGTGAAATTGCAGTCGACCGAGTAAGATTTCGCTGAGAAATCACGCGAGTCGAGAAACTGAAATTCTTGAACTGTTCTTTCTCGGTATTTCCGAAAGTATCTATAACCGGTAAAGAACAGGTGCAGCTAGTAACAGTTAATTAGCGAGGCTAATTCGATTCTCCGGGAGTGTTTGAAAAATCGGAACCGATACGATAACTGTTTTCAACCCCCGACCGGGACACCCAGGGCGAAGGAATGATTCTTTCCCGTTCCCGCTGCGAGCCGAATCCCCGTGCGCCCCGGGGATTTAATTAAGGTGGGAAGGGTCGAAAAATGCAAAATAATTGGTGGTCGTTAGGGGGAGAAGTACGACGGCAGGAAGGCGGACGTCTGGTCGTGCGGGGTGATACTGTACGCGCTTCTGGTGGGCGCGTTGCCGTTCGACGACGACAATTTGAGAAAGCTGCTGGAGAAGGTGAAGCGGGGCGTGTTTTACATTCCGCACTTCGTGCCGCCCGAGTGCCAGAATCTGCTCAAGGGGATGATCGAGGTCGATCCGGACAAAAGGTTAACGGTAAGGTCTAATCCTCGTGATCGGTTCACTGGGCCAGGCCGCCGTTCGAACGTCGGGTTCGCCTTGAACGCTGGCCACGCCCACGTAACCACGTAACCGCGTGGCGCGCGGTGATCGATTATTCGAAAAAGTCGGAGGAGAACCAATGTTCCTCGGAGAATGACTTTCTCGGTAGATAATGGAATGGAATACAGGTGAATCAGTTGCCAATTTACGAAAGAATTCCTCGTTGATTGTCGTCCGTTTTCGTTCGGGAATCGGCAATCGCGCGCCGCGAGCTCCGCAGCGATACACGTTGGCGCCAATAAACTCGAATCGTCGACTTCCACAGCTGGCGGAAATAAACAGGCACGTGTGGGTGACAGCGGCGGGCAAGGGCGAGCTGGAGCTGGAGCTGTCGATGATGGACGTGGTGCAGACGCACGTTATTCCGTCCGTGGAGGCGATCGATCCGGACGTGTTGCAGGCGATCGCGAGCCTGGGCTGCTTCAAGGAAAGGGACAAGCTTATCCAGGAGCTGCTCAGCCCGAAGTAAGACATCCGCCGCGATCCGAACGGACGAAAAGTCTCGTCCCCGGGAAACGAGGGACGAGCTCCCAGGAAAACGGAGCCAAATCGAAAACCATCTCCGTTGCGCCTCGTGTACCCCGGAGATTGAATGTTCCTTTTCGAACGCGTGTAATACCTGACGCGCCTGAATTATTAGCATAAATCTACAAATTATTAGCACATTCACTTTCACGACAGTCACCGATCAGAGCTCTCAAATCAATTGAAAACGGTCGCAAGGAAACTGACGTGAAATCAATACCAAATCAATATCGACTCATCGATAATTAATTCTAATACCCTTTACCTTTATCGAACAAACGAATAATCAACGTTACACGAAACGCTGAAGGTTCCCGTAGCAGTGAACGCGTCAACGATAGTTTCATCGAGCACGGTAGCGAATGAAACATGGGACAAGGGGCAACTCCCTTTGCCGTTCGAAATAGGTCGAAGGCTGGTCTCTCCGGGGAGACGTTAACGGATAACGCGAGGTCCGAGGCCCGAAATACGAGGTGCCAGGCGAAAGCCGGGAATCCGGTCACGAAGTCGGGAAGGCGGCGTCTTCCCGCAGGAAGAAGTTCTAGTCGCGATTAATCGAGGACCTTGACCCGGACCAGATTCCCGGCAGGTTTCCTTTATAGCTTCCCTCACGCGCACGGTTTCTTTCTGCCAACCTAGCCACAACACGGAGAAAGTGATATACTTCCTGCTGCTCGAGAGAAAACGGAGGAGACCGGCGTGCGAGGACGAGCTGGAGGTGATGAGGGGCGGCATGAGAGGATCGGCGAGCCAACTGGAGGCGGACCCGCCGCGGAAGCGGGTGGACACGTGTCGGGTGAACGGCAGCACGGCCCTCAATCTCGGCGAGATCAGCCACGGTTCCCCTCTGACCCCTCGGAGGCAGTCCAGGTGAGTTCACGGGCCGAGTCGCTCGGACCGCGAACGTTTCCCCTCGAGGAATCGAGGTCTCCTCGACGATCGACGCACGCTCGGTCAATCGACGCGAGCTTCGAATCGCGTGACCGTTGTTCTTTATCCGGACGCGTCGTCTCGCGTCGCGTGCGCGATATCGCGCGTGTCCCCTGCCCTTTCTCCACGCTTCCCCGCGGCAATTCCACGCGGCCGATTACGTCGATTGCGATCGCGTCTCGAGTTTCGCCCGGTGGAACCGATCGATGGGACTCGGAAGCGAAACAAGATCCGAGACGAGCCGCGACGCGAAGCGGTTTCCGGGTGTCGTCGATTCGATGATGGCCCTTCACTTTCGAGACAGAGAAGGAACAACTCGTGACTTATTAACGCGTTCCGTGCCGGACTTTTTCGATACATTCCCTTCGTGAACCGTACACGCCAGACACTTTACGAAGACGTTGGCACGAAAGGGGTGTTAATTAACATACGTTAGACAATAAGTCAATGAAGTTCATTTTTAAGTAACCACGGCACGGAACGCTTCACCAACAGTCGAAGATCACTTCTCGCGATTTCTTCCCTTGTTCGAGGACTCCTCTAGATCGTCTAAATTACATTGATACACTTTTTAAATGTAATTAAGGATCGAAGTCGGTCGAAGACGATTTGAACGATTCGATTACGCGTTGCAGCACGAGGCACCACGCTCGCCGCTCGCCGAGCACAGGATGCCACACGCACGCGTCGCACTCGCACGCGTCCACGCCGGGCAGCTCGCCGCTCCATGGCTCGAACGCGGTCGCGGGTCTGCTGAGTCCTCACAGAGCTCCTCCGAGCTCGCACGTTGGCCAAACCGGAAGTCCTCACAGGCTGTCGGCGGTGACGAGCTCCGCGGGCAACGGGAACACCGCGAACCCTGCAGTCGCGGCACCTGTCCCGGCCCTGCCCAGCGTGGGAATCGAGATAAACGACGTTCAACAAGGTGAGCCTAAATATATAATAAAAAATCTTTTAAAAGTACAATATGAAACAATCGAAAAATTTAAGTAAAGTGGTCCGATTAGGGTTAAATACTGAGTCCCCGAGACAGAGTTTTATCTTCGAAACTTCGGAGGCCAATCTTAAAGACTGAGTCTTCGAACCTTCAATCCTCAAGCTTAACCCTTTGCGGACGAATGTCGACATTTCGGCGAGATGAAATGTCCGTAAGTGATACGTAGTCCCCTCTCGTTCTATTATTTAACCAATCGATATATAATTCAGCTTGATCTGCCGAGGGGTTTGTAAATGTCAAAGAATCTTCGTCCGCAAAGGGACGAATTACCTCCGGAGAAAGCTATTAACGAGAATTTACTTGAACTCCGAACTCGAAACGAGCGGTCGCGAAGGATTCGGAGGAACCGAGCGAACCGAATATCGGTTGCGTAAGACGCGAAGATAGGGGTCCCGGTCGCGGACAGCGGGGAGCTGTTGGACGTAAAAAGAGACGTCGCGACGGGCCGTCGCTTCCACGATAATGGAATTTATCCCCCGACGAGACAATAGCTCCGATGAAAACGCGAACTTCGTATCGAGCTCGCCGCAGGCGACGCGATCGCTCGATAGCATCCGGTTTGCGTCCTCGGTGGCTGTCTTTTGTTCCAGCCGGCCGGCGATCGCTAGTCCGAATGCCGCGACTTTCGTACAGGAAAGCAAGATTAGCATCGCGATACGGCTGTGTACAGCCCTGCAATCGATTCTGCTAAAAACAAAGGAAATTTTCAATGATTTCCCCGCGGTTATTACGGATGTTATTGATGCATCGTTGACGTACATTGATGACAGCCACATCTCTAGATGGATCGGAAGTTGCGAGTAGGATATCCAAGAAAAACTTAAAGCGAAACTCTTTCGCTGTTATTCCGCCGGATAATCTACTATTCGGATCTGCTTTTCGGACTTTGTCCCGGTCGTTCGCGAGCTCGAGAGTACTCCCGTTCCCCGTTCGAAATCCAATTACCGGCAGTTGCATAATTCAGTCGAAATCAACCGCTTTACCCTTCGACGCGGGCCGCTGGTACGATGGATGACGCGTGAATAGCAGTCGATACGTTAGAACATTGTTGAAATATTCTATCGTCACGCGGTAATTGCGTTAGTTACTAACAGCTGAGCGTTGCGGACTCTCAATGAGATTCCATTGTGACACGAGTTTTCCGAACGAACGCAATTATCCGCGATTACTTCAGCGTCCAGAATGATCGCGCGCATCTCCGTTATCCGTGGACCGATCGAACGCGTAATCACGGGAACAGCCTCCAGCAGTTCGTTGCCTGTCTCGGCTTAATAAGCATCGGTCTAATTTCGTCGCGCGTCCACTAAGATTGTACAGAGTATAATGCGATCAGAGGAAGAAGCTGGACTAATATCGAAAAAGGAGCCTTAACGATTCGTAAACGTGAAATTCTACTGCATCGATGCGTCACCGTCGAAATAAACATGCACTAATTAAAGAACAGAGAATTCACCGTCGAAATTCTGGCGACAGTGAGCGCGTTAACGCGAAGAATCGTCGCGAACGAGTGTTTTCCACCGACCGGTCGTCCATCGAGCTCCCTGGGCGGATTCGCAGGTGTCCGGAGTGCATTTAGACGCGCGAGCAAAGAGGAACTCGCCGCTACGGGCAATCGGAGCCCTCGTCGATGTCTGAGCACCCGGTTTTTTGTCCGGGCCGAGAGAGACTGCCGTTTAAAAATGCAAGTGACCTCCGTACTCGTGTAACGAGCACACACCGCGCGCAGGATCGTCGTTAAAGCCACGCGTTCGACCCCCCTCGATCTTCTCTCCGGCTTTCTTCCTGGGGCCGTCCTCGCTGGAGAAGTTTGCGGAACGGAAACAACGGGAGGAACGTTTCTTTATCCGAGACAAAGGCGCAGCCCCCTTTTCTTCGTTGCCTCGCGCGCGACAAACGAAGCCGACGTCGCGTTCGGGACCAGCGATCGGCGAACCGTTTGATCGACGACGCAGATGCGAACTGACACGTCGAGCGGCGGCCAACGCCGGAAGAGGAACGAATTGAAACGGGAGGATGTATTCGCTGCGACGGGGCTGCTCGTTTCGATTCGAGTCACGCGAGAGCTATTCGCATGCACACGGGTTTTCACGTTGCTTCTCGACGCAACTATCGAGCTCTTCAACTCGCTTCGTTCGTTCCGGAAAAAATACCGTTTTGCCCGCGCGCGAGGATATTGAAAAAGTCTAGACAAAGTTGATGCTGCGAGTGGAGCGAGGGTTCAAAGTTTCTGTTCCGAATACTATTCACCAAATAATTCCTTCGACGCACTATAATTTCATTTTAAACGAAAACAATTCGTGAAACTTCCGTTTATATTAAATGTTACTTAATCCAGTCGACTGCTGGAACTCGCGAAACGTTTAGAAAAAATCCGCTTCCGCAGCCAGCCTTTCGTTCTCGCTTGTCGCCGAGAGGTTCCTCAAAAGCACGTTTGTGCCGCCTCGTTTCGAGTCGAATTGATCGCCACGTCCGATGCACGATGTCGCGTAAATTAACCGGCGCCGTCCGCTTCCCTGTGCGAACGCTCGATCATCGTTGATCGGTTGCAACGAGGCGGAAACCGCAACAATTATCGAGTGACCGTCGCAGTCGAAGCGGCGCAGCTGTTGCCGCGGTACCGATAAGAGACGCTCGATTTCGCAGTAGTAGCGGTCGGCGTTACACCGCCGGGATCGCCGCACACGGGGGCCGGGTCCGGCGCCCATCACTGGAGATCGAGACTGACCACCATCAAGAATTCGTTCCTGGGCAGCCCACGGTTCCATCGTCGCAAATTGCTCACGAGCACCGAAGAGGTACGTGTCCTTCGCTCGCCACTGATACAATTACGGGGAAGTAACCTAATTTCGACCGGCTCCTAAATTGGATCACAGCTCTTTTTCTACAGTCGCGTAGATTTCGACGATGTCCTCCGCCGTGAAACTGTAGAATGTGAAACCGCTGTGCAATAAGTAATGACTTTAGTCCGATGCATTTTTCATTTTTACGCCGGCCAACGTGATTCGACTTCGTACTCCCGTAATTCGCGTTACTGTTATTTCAATGGGTTCGTTCACCCTAGCTTCGGATAAGAATTTCATTTAGCTTTTTGTAGACTGTAGTTGTTCAATTGAATTTACGTGTGAACGAGACAATGTGATTGATAACGAAGGTACACCTCACGCCGGACTCCTCGCCGGAGCTGACGAAGAAATCGTGGTTCGGCAGCTTGATGACCACGGAGAAGGACGAAACGTTCACCGTTCTCGTGAAGGGGAAAGTGTTGGCCAGCGTGAAAGCCGACTTGATCCACGCTTTTTTATCGGTGAGTGACGAGACCCGTCTGGCGAGCGAGTTCCCGCGAGCAAACGGAAGGTTCCCTGTTGCAGATAGCGGAGCTGTCCCACAGCGTTAGTTCGCCCATGTCGTTCCGTGTGGAGTACAAGAGAGGAGGCACGGCGCCGGCGATGTTCCAGAGACAAGTCCGCTTTCAAGTCGACATCAGTGCCATATCGAAGCAGCAGAACGAACCGCTGTTCGCCATCACCTTCACTCTCCTCAGCGGTAAGTTGTACAGCGAACGATCATCGCCGAGAGGAACGGTCAACGATCAGCCACCGATAGCTGATGTCGCGAGATCGATAGAATCGAACGACTAATCCAACGATTGAATATTAACCTTTGCAGACGAATATCGACGATTTCGGCAACATGAAACGTATATTTGGAAAACTAAGTCGTAGACAAATGATGTAATTACTCGGACAGCAAGAGATCAGCATGTAGTTTCTATTTTCGCTATTATTCAAGCAATTAATATATAATTCAGCTTCATCTGCCGAAGGTTTTACACATTTCAGAGAATCTTCGTCCGCAAAGGGTTAAATTTCATCATCCGATCACTTGAAATCGAGCGGCGGCTGAGTCACCGCTCGACTGCAAAGTGTTAATCGCGTAAAGCTTGTTCATTTTCGAGTTTCCCGAGGAAGGGGGAAGTCGAGGAGCGCGTGTAGCTTCCGATACACAGGGACACGCGCGTCGGAACGAGGAAGGGTCGAGGGGACGCAAACCGCGGAGGACGGAGGATGTATCGCGAGGCGGCTGTCTACGGAGGTGTACGGCGGCCGGTGGCCGGCGTCAGGCATCTGGCAGCCGTCCAAGCGCAACTAGATCGATGTTACCTTCGCGGAAGCGGAGGTTCGCGTCTTGTCCGCTTGTACGCGCGCCTATATCATTTCGGCCGTGTTTCGCTTTCACGGGCTGTCGCTCGTCCGCGCTCCGCTCGATTTACGGCGCGCGTTCGCCCGCCGACAGCTCTAACGACCGAATATTTCAGCCGCCGCGTCGCGCGAGCGCCGGGACGAGAGAGACGAGAGAACGACTCGCCCAATTAAAAGCAATTATGTACTCGCCGTTGTTCAGGAGGAGAGCCCTGAGAGGAATGCGGGGCTAACTGGTCGGCTTTCGTCTCCTCGCATCCCGTTTTCGATGCTCGATGCTTCGAATGTCGTTTCATATTCGTCATCGACGAATAGCGGACCAAGCAGTCCTGCATTCCTCGATCATCGAGCGATGACCCTACGGTTCTGTTGGATGACTCGACGTCGATCAGAACAGCCCAGGGACAGCAGAGGGTCTTTCGCTATAATCGTTTATAGTTTCGATTGTTACGAATTCGTGTCGAAGAATAACTAATTAGCGCCAGAAAGACGAGGATTCCTCAGGCCAGCCGAGCGATCTCCCTGCAGCACTAACACGGACGGTCCGTTTCGTTTGGGTCTGTTTGCAGGCAACATCCGTCGGTTCAGGAGAGTCTGCGAGCACATTCAGTCGCAGGTCTGCACGCGGAACGTCGGGTTAAGCCTCGGCGGGCAGAGCAGGGCGGCGCCGCCGAGCCCGCGCGCCTCGCGGAAGTTCGCCACGGAGATGAGCGAGAGCTCCAGCTGCGGCAGCGACACCAGCGAACGACTCTTCCTCAGCCCGCACCCAGCTACCAGACAGGTAGTCTGTTTTAACAAGGTAGCGCATCATCTCTTTCCTCGTAGATCTCATTACCAACCGGCGGAATCGTAACTTCGCGGAGGCTGCGCACGGAAAGGTGACGGAAACTCTGGTCTCATCGTTGTCACGCGATCTTTCGCTCGCCACGCGTGCCTGCCACCGATTTCACCGCACCATTCTCATTCTCGCAACGCGTACCGCCCGTCGCAGCTAACCTGGCACTCTCGGTTCCGGTACACGATTCGCTGAAACGATCGCGCACGCTAATCTGGTCGCGCTACTGTCTCCGCCCCTATGACGTCACGAGAGACAAGTTCGCTGCAACGGACGGTACACACCTACATAGACACACGGCACGCGTAGAAGAGCACGCGAACGCTTCGCGCAGCGCATCCTCAAAGACATGCCGAAAGAACTCCATTTGCCAGTAGCCTGAGTGCGATCTAGCCAGTAGAGCAATCTTGTTGAGCAGGCTTCTCATCCCAATCACTCTACTCCACAGTAGTCACGCGCTGAGCTATTAGGTCATCCCACAAGTAATGTCATTTCTTATCATGTTTCGTAAGATACTTTCTAACGTTGAATTTAACCAATCGAAAAATCGGAGAAGGTGATGGGCAACGACGATCGATACGTCGAAGATTAAATGTAAACGTAAGTATATTGAATCTTTACACTAGAAGTCCCCGTAAAAGAAACGACATTACTCACGAGATGACCCGATACCGTGTCTCGCACTTTTCAAGCGTGGTTTTTGTCAGCACCATTAGAGAACGTATAGATTGTTTCCGTTGTTGAATCGAGTCGTCTTAACGAATTACCTTGCTCCGCCCGTGTCGCAATAGGTCACCGGGAGCCGAGCATCGCTCGTCCTCGAACGATCCCCGTCGTCTCCCCGTTACAACCTCTCTCCGCTCGTTTTCCAGATCGACTCGGACCTCGAATCGGACACGTCCGTGTTCGACGTGAAGTCGCCGACCCGCGAGAACGGGCGCAGGAGCTCCACGTCGACGAACAACAACAACCCGTTGCCGGGCGACACGACGCCGACGCCCGGCAGCCCGACGAAGGCGGTGCGCAGCAACTCGGAGAGCCAGAACACGCCGGAGAAGAAGTGCGTGACCACGATGAGCGGCAACAACATAGCGTGATACTATCAGAACTTTCGCTTCGAGTTTCGGTCCAGCCTGAAGAATCTGTGGGACAGCGCCCAGAGATTCTGGTGAACCTGTCGACAACCCGCCGCCTCTGCCTCCGCATTCGTATCCGCAGCCGCAGCCGCAGCCGCATTCGCATTCGCAATCGCATTCGCATCCGCCGCCCTCGCGTTACCGGAGCAAACGATCTTAGGCGAGAACGAGTGAAACTGTCCCGATCCACAGAGCCAGATCTGTCGGGAGGAGTCGGTAGCCGAGCAACTGGAAGGCCAACGCTGCAACACGCGAAAGAGTACAGCGATGGAAACCGGAGAACGACTAGGGAGAAGGTATCCCGCGAACGAAGAAAAGAGAATCGGCAGTGCTATTCGAGATGTGCCGGGCATCCAGAGAGAAGAAGAATGATATCGGAACGCGGTGCAATCGCGCGTTCCGGAAGGCTTGTTCGGCATCCTCGGAGCAAGCGAGACCGCCGACGAGACCGGTAGACGAGATTCGCGAGGACGGACGCGTCGGGATCCGAGATGTCCGCGCGAAGATCACCGAGGGAGGAGAGCCAGTGCCGCTTCCCGCGTCCCGTCCGCCAGTGATCGCGCTCGATTGCCGCGTGTCCACGCAATAGTGAAGTGCAATAGTGACCGTGTGTCGGTGTGCATCGGACCGCGTCGTTGTAAGAGTGTTTCACTTGGTACGTATTTATTATCCTGTCGCGTATCGACGCGATTAGCCAATTTCGTTCTCGTCGCGTACACGATCGACCGAGGCAAAACGCCGGAGATGTTCAATGAAAATTGCATTCGCGTGCACCGGCGTTCGCTCGGACCTGTGTACTTATGTAGATGTTACGCTCGCCCCGTCGGAGGAGTCTCGACTGTCCGTGCCGTGAAGACGCTGCTTCGAGTATTGTTTCGTTCGGTCCTTGACGCGCGCGGCAAAGAGTTTCGCTCGCCTCGAGTTCCATCGGGACCAGTTTTCGATTAACCTCTCCGCGAATTCTCGCTTCTTATCCGGGGGATTTCCTTTGTTATGGGCACCGATCGATCCCGTAATCGGCCGATCCGTCGAGCCACTTTGTTCAGTATGCGTTAAGTTTCTTCATGCACGCGTCTCCCCGATTATTCCCGTCGTTTCGGAGATCGACGGCAAGGTGGAACGTCGGTTGTCCGAAAGCGGACCGCGACGAGTACGTCGGCCGTTAGCCGAGCCGGTTAACTCCGCGATACGAACAGTAGAGAAAAGTAGAAGAAAGTGATGCAATAGCAATACATTCACTTTGAAAATTCCGCTTTCAATGGAGAATCAAATAAACGTTATAGAATGTTACAAGTGTAATTATTACAGGTAACTATAAGCTAACGAGCATGTGGAATGCATAAAATAGTATATTCTCCAAGTAATCTCCCTTGTTACCGCAATCGTTGCATAGCCAAAAGAATTTTTCTTATTCCGTGGTAAATACTAAACCCAATAATAAGGAAGCTTGTTTTAAAGTATATGAAAAGTTAGTAATCGATCGAACGGTTTGAAAAATGCAAGTAGCTCGAATCGGATCGTAAATCCGATTGCAATTCGACGACGATCATACACGCGAACGTTATCTCCTCGCGTTTCCGAGATTCGTTTCGAGAAACGAACAATTTTATCGCGGCGTGACCTCGAATCTCGAATAACCGACGTTCCACCGCGATCACCGAGCAGCCGGACATGCCTTACGCGCGAGCACGCGCCGAACTCGTTTTCAAGCCGCCTTAAGCCAATGGTGCACGATCGGTCAGCGACAAAATGTCGCATCGACGGCGATTCCTTTGGATGAATAGAGACGCCAAGTTCTGTTGTCCTTCTTTTCGTGAAACGAAAGGGTGTCGCGTCTTTGTTCCCCCAAAAGGATCGCCGCTGCGACAGTTTCTCGCGAACCGATCGCGTGCGTTTGGCCTGAATCGAACAGGTAGACGCGAACAAACGTCGGCCACGCGCAACTCGCATACCTTTCTGCGCGCAGCTTTCCGACAGGGGGTGAGAATGGACAATCCGAGGCAATTCAGCGAATTAACGTTTCTGCAGCGACCCTATTTTTACACCCTCCCCGCGACAAGGATCAAACACTTTCCCCGCGTATTGGGTGCTTAACCCTTTGCCCTATGATCTCTTCTCAACTCTGATCGACACGACTACTTCGTCGTTAATAATTTATTGGAAAAAGATAAAATATCGAGGCATTTCCCATGTTTATATTTGCTTTCAAATGTAACAATTGATTACTGGAGAACAATATTTACTCCGACTTGGAACGAACCGAGTAATATTTATGATTGTTAAGTCATATTGAAAATCCTCACCGCGTGTCGAACGCGTTGTTATAAGGCAAGGGGTTAAAGGACACGCGCAGCTTTACGGTACACGCGACATTTTCCGTTTTCACCCTCGCGACCCGACATTTCCCCACGTACAGGGAGAACGGCGCTTTTGAACCACCGATTTCGTCGCGACGTTGGATGTCCTCGTTCCATTTCAGAAAATTCCCCGTTGAATTAAACGCTTCCCGAAGTCTTAGCGGAATCGGTTATTCGAAAGCGTCGTCCAGTTCCCGCGAAACGAAACGATCGGACTCTGATAGGTGACTTTCGTTAGGTCCGGCGTTCGCATCCCGAGTCTCGGACCAAAGGGATCTTCGACCTTATCGTGGCGACCGGGCCCGAAGTCTAATTCTCGGCTCTACACGGTAGAAACACAGGGGGAAAGAACGAGACGACGACTAGCCGACGAGAAAATGCGAGCGAGTTGTAAAAGCGAAACGACGGAACGCGAGTAAAATGAAAACGAGAGAGAAAGAGATGAAAATTCGCTTGCGGCGTAACGATCGCGAGAGATTTATTTTTTGCACGCGGATAAACATTTCGAAAGACTAATATATAAATATATACATATATATGTATACATTCATACATATATATATATATATGAATATATGAATATAAAAATACGAATATAGATATATAAACGAGAGGAGGGGAGAACAGATATATAATACACGCGTACACGTATAAGTAGGTAGGTTTCAGCAACGAGCGACGCGTTGCGTTGCCGCGCGTACGGCTTCTTGTCTGCTTCTTGCGCGAACTTAACAGGGAAAAGTGTGAGGGGAAGGGGAAAAGAAAGAGAAAGAGAGAGAGAGAGAGAGAGAGTCAGAGAGGGAAGGAAAGATCGAATCGTTGGCAGAGAACGATCGGATCTAGCGTTTCCAATCGCACTGTAGAAGGATAAGCGATGAACAGAGTATATACTTATCGTACACGTTCTCCTCCGACAGACACCCCGAACAGACATATCGCGAAAACTGTCCCGGCTTCTTAGTGGAACGACGAAAAGACGCATCGTAACCGCAACTACTAGCAACCTTTTTTAACCGAAAGACTCGTCGTAGACCTAACCGAAGTCGAATCCTGCCGACCGTAAGAATCCTCGCGGATCGAAACGAACTTTCGTGAAACGAAACCGACGTCACGCAACTCGAGAACGTCGTAGCAGGCGTGTAGTCGATCGTTCGCGTTTCCTTTCCTTCGTTTTTCGTTTCCCCTTTTCCCGGTCGTCTCGACCGAACAGCCGATCGGCGGTTCTCGAACTAGATAAAGAATTTGCCGCGAGAACGAACGTAATTCTCTCGGCCCGATCTCGCGTCGTTCCCGCGAGAGTTCTCGGCAGTGCACACCCGCGACGGGTGTATCAGTAGCCTTCGACAACGAAATCAGTGTTCGCGAAGAAAGCGATCCTCGGCTTTTCTTCGGTTCCGTGTCACGCGACGCGCGCCTCTCGGGCTCCGGCGACTTCCAGTCAGAGACGCTGGCCGCCATTGCGGCGGCCTCTCGTTCGGGCCGGTGGCACGCGAGCGTACAAATGGCGGACGTCGTTTCGCGCGGACACGGACGATCGCTGCACACGAGCGTTGGTTCTTCGCGTCATTTAGCGCGGAAAGTCCAAGGAAAACGAGCGCGTACCTAATACTAGTGTATCGATACTAGAGATTTTTAATATTAACGAACAGCGGACGAATTAACGTTACATCGTAATGATGTCGTCTTTCAATATCATCAGCAATATGGATGACTGCTATTATGACTAGTTACACAAGGGAAATTGTTCTTAAATCGTATACTACAGGATAAGAGTAGGTAAAGGAAGTTTTTCAGTTTTGGCACTTACAGTGTTCTCTGCAATAACTCTTTAACTCGAAACATACGTTTCCGTAGCAGGCAACTTCCGTTTAAATTTGACGTCCGTCATTTCAACGCTCGCGTGCTCCTAGCCTTGGTCGTCGAGGAAATTTCTTACCGGCTGGCTAGACGTAGGCGAAAGGATTCGATCCTTCGGTGTGTTCGCTCGAATCATAAATCGCGATGATGATGGTCCCCCGATGCCTCTCGCTTTAATACGCGACACGCACGGTTCCGATTCGATTCTCTCCGATCAGACACGGCAGAACCGAGTGACCGAGAGCCAGATAGGCGAACGACACGTTTCGACAAACAGTCGTCCATAAACAGGAATTCGCGTAAACGTTCGCGACTCTGTTCTCGAGAAGTTGGCATCGCGTCCCGCGATTTCCAGGGAACGAAGGCGAAACGGATGAAGCCTGATTTACTCGCGAGTAAAGCTCGGACAGCGTCGGGCTTACAGGGTAACTTGAAAGGGATCCAGATAAGTCGATCGATTCGATCGAACGGACGAATTAACCCTTCACATTCCGAAGATACTGGAAGGTACCGTTTTCCTCGGATCGCTGCGTACGAATCGACCGAATACGTTGAAATTCTTGTAGTGAATCGGGGCTTAAATCGTGTCCGCTAGGAAAGTTATCCCAACGTTTCGCCATCGCTGCAGTTGGCTTCGATTCGCTACAACCTTCCAGGCCGTGAAAGCATCGAACCTACGCTGCTGAAATTCTCGTTCCAATCCGATTCCGTTTCGCTCGATCGAGCTCGATTCGACGTTCCAGTGTACGCGTTCGTGTCTCGGCGATAATAAGAAAACTCGCGTGAGCGGTTAGCGTGCACGTTGCTCGAATAGTCGTCGAATATCTAGAATATCGATAGGCGGTAAGAAATTAGGAGAACGCGGTTCAGGACTGAGAAGGTTAAACGAGGAGGCGCGCTGATCTAGTTGACTATTTTCCGATGGCGTGACACGCGTGGACGAAGGAATCGCTGGTTCTCGGTACTCGATCGAGCGCGAGCCGTGCGCGTGAATTGAAAAGGGAGACGGACGAAACGGTCGGGCAATGTTTAGAAAGTTACTCGTGTCCGCGCCGACTAGATATCCCGTAATTTGTACCGGAGCTAATTCCATTAAGAAGCTTGCAAGTAGTGTGTAAGAGTCGTTGGCGCCGACGTCAGCACCCAGCCGCGCGTAGAGTTCATAGGGAGATAGTGACGAAGGAACAGGGAAACGGGGGATAAACGCGAAACCGTTTGTCGTGCGTTTCGCCAACTAAATTGCTAACTAAGCGGAGGATCGTGCGACTGCTCGCGTGCGAGATACGAGAGAAGGGGAGAGTGGAGAAGGGGGCGAAGAGGGGCGTGAAGGGGACAGAGCGAACGCGGACGAGCGTAAAAAAAAAAATTGAGAAACTTGTTAGATAGTCGAAACGAATCTTTAGTACCGTACGCGACATATACATAACACACACCACTACCTTATAAATTGACATTAGTCGTAAGCTTGCGGTTATCTATTTACTAATTGCGGATAAATATAAAATTACTCGTACGACGTAAGTAGTAGGACTCGATCGAACTTGGGGGAGGGAGGGAGGATAAGAGGGTAAAGGGATCGTGGAAAACGGATGGCAGAGGGAGAGAAAGGGAGAGAGAGAAAGAGAGGGAGTGAGAGTGAGAGAGAATGAAGGACGAGGACGCGAGAAGAAACAAATTACCGGCCATACTAAGCTAGGATTTTATATCGTGCGAATTTAAAGGTGAAGAGATATACTAAAGTAACTTCGGTGAATACTCGAGTGAATGGATCACGGTGTGCCCGACGAGTATCGGATACACCTCGGGATACCGCTTTCTGTCTCCTGTTTTTCCGTTCGAATTCTCGCGCGCATACAGCTAAGCTCTACGGACGATCAACAATACTCGCTATCCCTCACGCGTCTCCGATTTATTTTTCGACTCGCTTTTGCGTGATCCGCGAGCCTCCGGTCGCGCGCTCGCGGCGTTTGAAAACGGTCGCGGATAAGGGAGTGGACTTTCGTCGATGAGATTCTCGAAGAGACGAACCAGTCGAAAGGGATCGAACGGCGGTCGCGCGACCGGAGACTGCGCGAGTGTGCTTTCCCGGCGAACAGAGACGAGTTTGCGAGCGGAAGCTGCAACGGTGTCCCTTCGGCCGGGCATAGAACCGTAGGATTACACAGATTCCCGACACCGTATCCTTAAGGAGTTAAGCTAGGCAGATAGAGGAGATTTTTATACAATTTATAAGGCGATTTGCAATCGATTGATTTATCGCACGTTTACTTGTTGACGTTTCGTTGTATAGACACTGGCACTGGCACAGGCACAGGCGCGACGCCCTCGAGCACGCGAGCGGCAGCTTCGCTCGAGGAATCCAATTAGCGGGATTAAAACGTTGTGCAACGCATCTTAATACCGTTATCGTTTTCTCGACGATCGATCGGTTCGACCGATTCCCTCGTTCGAGAGAAGTTCGAGCTTCAACGGGGCGACCGGCTACTCGACGGGAAGCAACGATCGGTACCGACTCGTTCTTCGCGTTCGACGGACATGGGCCGCGAGCCCGATCGATCGATCCGACGGAGATTCGACGGAAAACCGACGCTGTCTCCGCGAACCGCGCGGATACGACTTCCATCCGAAAAGAGCCAGCCCGCGGTAATAATAGCCCCATTATCCGTGGCGGCATTAAGAAGACTTTCAAAGATCCGAAGAAAGCTCTCGTTTTCCGAGCGAATCTCCCGTGTCGCGCTCGTTCCAACGTGTTCCGCCGCAGCTGGACGAGCGATCGATCGCTATCGCGTTTCTGGCGAGTCGTCCGACCATCCTGTCGACGATTTTCTTCGCGCCAGCCGAACCGAGGCCGCGAGAATCGAGGAGAAGATTGGCCACGTACTTGCTTACTTCCTTCGTCATCGCCTATTCCATCGACTATTCCGATCACGAACGACGCTCGGTTTGACGAGCCAGCGTGACCCGCGGTGTCCGCCGCCGCCGCTCCAGAACCGAGCTAATTACCGTTGGCTAACGTCGTTTCCGCGCCCTGTGCGCGCTGGCCAGAATCTCTGGCAACCCCCCTCGGGCTCGGCAACTGCTCCAATTAGTCGTTCGCTCCGACGCGAACGAAACACCTCGTCCCCGTAACGATCAGCCACCCCGCCTTCGAATTTACTTATCGACTCGGTCGCTTCCCACCCAGCTGGAGCAACATTCTATCTTGAACGCGACGCTTCGATCAAAACCGTTTCGCGCCCCATCCCTTCGCTCAGCGAAACTGGGACGTCTTCGAATTCTCGGTGCTCTTTAGTTTCTTCGCCGACGCCTTTCCTACACGCTTCCTCCGCGGACATTTCGCTCGGGACTTTCGGATCGCTTCGAAAGAGCTTCAATTTTTTCGTACGAGAGAACGAAGCAGGATCATGAGAATCGCTTCGGGATCACCGGGATCAGATGCTGGCGAATCCAGCGATACGATCGGATAGCGAAAGAATCGCGTAGGAGTACATCAAGAGACGGAGGCGCCTCTTTCCAGGTTGCATAGCTCTACCAAGCGGAATCGAAATTTGCACCACGCGTGTGCGAGCGGAAAGAAGTTGGTTTAACGCCGCTCGCTGTTCTACAGAAACCAGCGTTGGTCTACGATTAAGATCTACGCTTTCCTCGTCGCATGGAGAAGAAAATATTCGGCTAGCAATATTTCCCTCAACTTCTACCGATGTTCCCTAGTCTCAGGATTAACACGTTGGTGTTGACTCGCAACTTTAATTGCTCTGGTAGATAGAAAACTTAATTTACTTATGGATAGTTTGGGTAACTTGCAAAATTTCAAGGGTTTCACCAGATGGGCGGAAAAAGAAATTTCAGCGCCGACGTCAACGTGTTAAACCTGTACCGTTCTTCGCTGCGGTGAAAATTAGAATCTGTTCTGAAGCTATGCGTGAACCTCTCGTAAACCCAAGGCTCCGATTCCACCGAGGCGACACGAGGAAACGCGTCGCCTCGAGCAGCACGCCACGCGGAAACCTCTTCGGTCAAGGATAAGTTTCGATGATTCCAATTACGCTGTTGATTGTTCCAAGTTACAAGAGAAACTTGTTAAAAGTTCGACCCACGATTCCTAACTCAAACACGAACCGCCGGAAAGCCGTGCGGTCGAGAAACCGCTGCTTAATTGTAGCGGATGATTAACATTCCTGTTCGAAATTCCTGTTCGCGTCAGGGGAAAGTAAGTAGTACCACCGATATAAACTTCATTTCACAGGATCTCCATGAGAATTGGTATCCTCGCGTTTCCGGGGCTGCTGAATCGAAATATTCCGTTGAAAATACAAAATCCAAAGCAGCGAATCTAATAGCACATCCACGATACACAGCTGAACATCATTTCTAAGTTGGCGTCCGTGAAAATCGGTTGCTCCCGCATCGTTCACGGAAATTCCGTGATCGAACCGTCGAATTTAACGCGATCGCGTTGATTCCAAAGGTTTCGGGGTCGCTTCGGCGATCTGATCGCGCGCACCGATGCACGCAGCGTACACGCGTACGCGTATACACAGGTAGGCACGCCCGAGGAAGAGGCTTTGAAGATCGTTCGGTGAAAATCTGTTGAATTTCGAAATGTACGCGGGGGATCCGCGCGAGTCGTGTCTCGCGCGAGCGAGCTTTGATTCCGAGTATCGATTAAGTGTATTTCGTGTGAAATATTTCACTGCGCTCTAATCCCCGCGACGGGAGCGGACGTTGAACAAGTTCGAAGTTGTCACTCCGAATTGGAGTTTCTCGAAAACAGTTCGGAAGCGCCGGGGAGCCGATCGTCCCCCGCGCTTCGGAGACCGGCCGAACACCGGCGGAAGTGTCGAGCGCGCCCGAATCGGGATTCGAGCGCGCGAACGTTGTTGAGTCTTTTCGAGTGTCGCAACCGTTTTTCTAGTTGTACGAGACGCGAGCCACTTCGAACGATGATCGCGGCTGAATTATTTGGCAATTTCTGAGGGGACGGAGAGAAAAAGGACGGTCGCCGTCGCGAATTATAATCCGCGAGCGAACGAGCCCCGTTACCGGCCGGGCGCTCGGCCGGTAACGACGAGCCCGGCAGCCGGCACTCTCGAGTGAAACAGTTCATATCAAAGATACATAATCAATATACCAGTTAATACTTTGCGGTCCGTACCTCACTCGAAGCCGTTGCGCTCCTCTTCCGTTTCGCTTTCTTCGAATGTTCTCGATGGATTTCTGGTTTCGATATTCTTCTCGTTTCCTGTAGACGGTAGAGACACCGAGATCCAGAGCGGTACCGGTTGAAACGATTCGTTTCTATGCTTCTCTGCGATCACGGACGCGCGCATTCCACGAGCGATGCAAAAACCTGTCGACGGAGCGCAAAGTGTTACGGGATCCCAGGCGTACAGCGATTCGATTCACCAGTCGCGCGCGTTGTATGTACCGAGTATTTAGTAACGTCCATGACAACTGACAATAACGGCTGTGAGTCCGATAACGTTTTTCTCCCGAGAAGTAATCCACGTTGTAACTTGTCAGACCTGTCCGCGAGTGGAGTCTTTTACGCGATACTGTCCTAACCTCCTCTGTACGCGCGCTTTTCGGTATCCCCGACGGAAACGGACCGCTCTTCCGGGGCGATCCGCACGGACACTGCTTTCCGATCGATTCGAATCTTCGTTACGCGAAGACCATGGGAGGGGAATCATTTCGAACGTCAGCGTTTCACCCATGCACACCGTGCATTGTCGCGGTACAGATTTACTCAGCGCCGATCAACTACGATAACGCGTAGAACGCTTTGGACCGATTGTTGCAAACCGTTTCGCTATACTCGCCTGTGCAAAGTTCAGTTCGATTCGAACTCCCGGTGAAAACTGATTCTACGGGACTCCATGGTACTTCGGTTTCGAGACGATACGTGTCGAGATTCGTTAACCCCCTCGACACTCGATATCCTGTTCCTCGGGAATTTCATTGAATTCGTCGCAGAAGCAGGATATCGACTCGATTGCGACGCTACACGGGTATTCCTTTTGTCGGAGACGTTTCGCGTACTTTGGAACCGTTGCCCGATCAGTTTCCACCGGGAAGTCGGAAGAAGAAGCGATCTTGCCGGCCGATATTACCGGTGTATGCATACTACAGCAATGACTTATGTATCTACTTACCGCGTGCAGCCGATCACGACGAAGTTATGGAACACTTGTCGCTTAATTTGCAAATAAAGAATACGACCGGTGCAGATAGTTACGTCGACTCGGGTGTCACTGATCTTTCACTTACCGGGGACGAGGGAAATTCGCGGGTCGCGCAAACTAACGCAGATCACGGAACGACACGTGCGTACACTACTAGAGTCAACGGAACACTAACTGCTTCGAATAGCCGGTAAAATGGAAACATACATTGCACTAGAGTCCTTCCTGTAACGAGAAAAAAAAAGTAGGTATCACTCGACCGACGTAACTGTGAACGAAAAGTCCTACTACGCCACTTCTCAGAAAAAACGAACGTTTGATCGTGAAGTCGACTGACCGGAAGAAGAGCCTAACTTGAACTGCGCAGTTGAGCTTTGAAATTGTTCTGTTGGTCGTATTTGAGATATCGATAAAGAAGAATCGCAAACTCGCAAGCAATTGATTTCACAGTGAACTAAATTCTATAATAATTAATGATAACGATAACAATGACATAAAACGAAGAGCTTAAAAACAATGCTAAAACGGGAATAAAATATCGCGGGAACAAAGGCAATGAAATAATAAAGATGTTGACGTTCAAGGTTACTCGGCGACCAGAAATGCGTAACTTCACGATGAACCGTTCATTCGAATTTGACGATTTCGACGGGATTGGCCGTTCGCACTAAATTCGATGCACTTGCAATGAACTATTTTTTTACGAAAGAATAAGACGGAGAAAAGATCCTGCCCTAAAACCCCCTGATTCCGCGTAGCGATAAAGTTAGCCACCTTTCTTTAAGCGTATCTTTTCGATTTTTCGAACCACGGCAACGGTGTACGCGTATTGTGATTCGAGTCTCACGGACCCACGAACGAATCAAGCGATCTTCTTTTCCGGCGACTTTGAATAAACTTTATTTTGAAACGAAAGAAAGAAATGGAAAAAAGAGGAAAAAAAACGAGAACAGTCGTTACGTCGACAGATAACAACTGACACTGATCGCGATCGTTTCGTTCAATTACGCATTACCGAGTAATTTCAGTAATTCGAATTACTATTTGTATAGGTTACTTGAAGCGAGCTACAAATACAGTGTACAGTTATTGTACTAACGATTACTACTGGTACTTGTCACGCAATGACTATGAATTATTCTGTATTATTATAAAATATATCGATAGTTTTCAAGGCAAACGAATAAACATGAAAACGGTGGGGAGATAAAAATTGTAACATATTTGTTGATGGCCAATATCAAATATGTATAAAAGTAATAATAATGCAACATTACTAATAAACAAATATTACTAAGGGTTTTGTCAATTTAATACCCACGATACGACGTACCGTGAACACCTACTAACTCGGGAAAAAGATTGATTGCATCGTGAAATTCATGATTCAACGGAGAACACGAGCAACGTGTGTATAAAATCATGAATATTCGTTGTTCATTCGAATGTTGACAACGTATACAGACATCGATCAACTATACATGGCTATTTATATGTATTTACGTTCAAACCAGCCGTATCAGGATGCCGCGTAAACATTGACTGTGATTTGTAGGTCGATCTATTAAATAATTAAATAGTTAAAGAATGCCGAAGCGTGCGTGTCCATTCGAGGATGATTTACCACCGCAGTTAAAAGTACATGTAGGCGAAAAACAAGTCGATAATGGTGTTTGCCGAGAGGAACGAATGAAAACTGTTTACGGTACGGAGGTTATAAGAACGAACGCGCAAAAAATTCTTTCTCAAACTTATCCTTTCGTTGTTTGTTTCGTGCAGGTAAAACGATGGATCTATTAAAAGAAGGTGTTAAATCACTGTCTCGTAAATTGAATTCCTCTATGGATATGAATTCGATGGATATGCAATCGTCAACGGCATCATCTGCATGTAAAACGAAACAGGAACGTAATTCAAAACAAATGGTACTGAACAGTAAGTTAGAACTGTTAGGAACGAATAAAGCCATCAAGGTAAGTCACTTATTTGCTAACTTTATGTATTCTCTGTTTCTTCTCATTCTTTGTTATATCCTCTTCCAATTAATAATTTTTATTTGCAATATTATTTATAGGATGTTCGTCCGAAGTATGATCTTTGTGGATGCACACGAGTAATAGATCAAAGCATGCTTAATAAATGTTCTTATTGCGATCAAGTTTTATGCAATTCTTGTCTGTTTGAGTGCATCACTTGCTTGGAACTCTTTTGTCAGAATTGTTCCTTACCTGTGTAAGTGACTCTAATACTCAATATTCCTACATTAAATCAACAGTTGTAATATGACAAGAGTTCATTTCTATTCGTTACATTCCAGGTACGATTATGAGGAACGAAACAAGTGTCTTAACTGTTATAAATGAAATTAAAATACATGTTTTTATAGTCTGTATTTATACTTTAAATTATTTCTTCTAAATAGTTTTATACGATTAAAATAAGAAAACTGAAACTGCCTGGTTTTATATTAAGAATAGGAAAAAACCAATTATCTTATATTTCTTGTATAATAAAAAGAATATTTTACAAAGAACACAATACCTTAATTTCCAATCCTATCCACTTTTCAAAAATTTTTAATGTTACTTAATGAACACAAAACTACGATTACACTGATATTAGTAGAGAAATGATCATTATGTATAGTGACACTAATAGGGGAAACAAAAGACTGTTGATTTTATTCCATATGGAATCCTATCGAATCGAAATTTCACTAAATTATATCCGACTAAATTAAATCTCGATGAATCTAGAACGATCTTAAAAATCAATATTTGCTTTGTTTATGTTATACATTTTGTCCTTGCGAACGAGTAAGATGATCATTTAAAAAAATAAACATGTCAGTTCGAAGTAGTGATCTTCACGTGGGTCGTTTTGAAACTCGGACAGCAAGTCGTCTTTAGAAAGGACGGAAAAATCGTGACACGAAAAATATAAATAAATGTTGAATCTGTAAAATTTATACATTTTTTCAACATTAGATCGTCATAATCTCTTCATTTACGCAATATTTGTTCGTGTAGTGTCAAGATCGGTAATTGATTTACGATAAAAAATTTATAAACATCATATATATTACAATTTTTTATTATTTTCTCCGTAGTTTAGATATCAATATGATGAAACGAAAGAGACCATCAAAAGTACCGTTACAAGCTATTGAAAACAAAAATGTTAACAATGCCGACACAACTGACAACATGGTAAGACATAAAAATACATATTACTTGACAAGTGGACGATTTCGGTGGTTAGAAATGTAATGGAAATTATTTATTTTCAGTCCATTAGAAAGAACAAAAAATGTAAATTATCACAGCAATACCAAAAACAAAGTACAAAACGAATATTAGAACTAAAAGATACAAAGAAATCTCAGCAAAATTCTGAAAATTTGAATGTGCCTTCGAAACAGAATGTGGAAATGTATGATTACCGAATTGAACAATTAAATTTAATCTCAAAACAACTCTTACATTGCCCAACACTTACACAAGATGAATTAAGAATACTGTTTACGAAATACAAGTATGATGGTCATTATAAACCAAATAAAAGTTTGCCTCCATTTGAAAGCCTTTCAAAGAACAAATGGGACACACTTAACAATATAAATTGCAGTTTACAAACACAGCAGAGCTTAGAATGTAATTCATACGAACAACAAGAAATTAATTCAGAAAAAACGATCAATAGAAGTGATGATAAATACCACTGTATTCAATCAAGTTGTATAGACATTAAAAACTATAATCATACACTTACAGATTGTGATACACAATCATTCGGTAACAGAAACATATTCAACAATACACAAAACATTGATGAATCAAGATCAAACTTTTGCATTAATGAAATATCCAATATACAAGGAGATTATTTTCCAAGAAATATGGCAAATACAGAAAATATTTATCCAGAAGAACAACGTAGTTACCAATATGAAAATTTTGTAGACATCACTGAGAATTCACAGCAGAGTGAAAACTATCCTCCAATACATTTTGATGTACCACAGAATCCAAATATGTATACTGATTTTCATGTACAAAAGTGGGATAACAGTATGTCTTTAACAGAAGGAAATAATAATTATCAAGTAAGTCAAAGTGAACATTTAATTCATGTTCCTGAAATCATTAAGTTGGAATGGTATTACAGTACAAAAAATGCAGAAGAACAAAATATTTTCAATACAAATGTCCATGAAACTGTATACCCTGTGATGAATAATGATTATGATACTATTAATAATAGTACCCACATTAAACAGAATTTTTATGCTAACTCTTCACATTTATCTTCTGTATCAGATAATTCTATTCCCGACATAAATTCACTTCTTTCATCTTCTACAAGTATTGTTGATTAATATATTTAAGGCATCTTAGTATTGTAACTATTTAACATTTGTAATTTGAGTTTATATCAAATTCGTATTTTGTATTGAGCTTTTATTCTTTTAAGGTTTTCACAAAAGGTGAAAAATGATAATATTAATTAAAATAAGTTTATCATATCTGTCTGTATAAAATATTTACTATACATTAATATACAGCTTTATAGTAAAGATGTGGCACAAAAAATATAAGTATATACATAAATTTAATCTTTTCTTTTAGCAAACTTTAAAAATATTTTAATATACATTTTTAATACAAAACAAATGAACATGTGTATGTAAAAGGTGCTGTACACAATTACATGTTTTAGTTTATAAATATATTAGTTAACATTCTCATAAAAATTATCTTCTAACTGTAAAATTATTTATGACAGATAAAAAGTGCAGCTGATCATGATTATGAAAACAGATTTGTCAGTCTATAATTTTTACTTGTAAATACCGCATAATATAATATACTTAAAATTTTGAACTAGAATTTAGGTAAATATAAAATATCTGCTATTATGTACTTATAAAAAGTATGTTTTTCAACATAAAAATGTATATTCTGTTGCGGTAAACTGTCAGTGTGTTTTAAGTCTTGTACATATATTTGAACCAAACCATGGTCCCTCATAAACTTTTTATCAGAATAACAATATTTATGATACTTTCTTTTGTATTTAAATATAACAAGGCATTCTCATTTTTATAAATTAGTGACTGCATTCTTAGCGTAAAATGCATTAAGTAAAAAAGGTATTGTAAAAGAAAATATTATCAGACATGTCTTTCTAAATAACTATAAACATAAATATCACAATACTAATAATGTAATTCACGTAGAAAGGGATGGATTATTACTGTATGCAAGTACCATTCTTCTGTTTCATAACACCCCTGTATCTTTTATCTTCAATGTTAGAAAAATTCTGTTTTTAAACATGTTAATTTTGTTACGATTTAAATCATCGCATTATTAGCGAAGAATGTACGTCTGTATAAGTTAAAAATAAAAAAAAATATATTCTTACAAATTATAAAGGAGTTATGTTTGTATGGTCCTTTACGGTTTTGCGATAACCGGAAAAATCCGATACTAAATCAATTTCGTCTATATCCTCACCGAGAAGTCGACCCTCAATGTCGTCTTTTGATCTTCTGAATAACCTGTAATTGAATTTTTGTATAAAAGAAGTCATTAAAATAATTGAACGACAGTTAAAATAATGTTAGATGGATTAAAATATACATTACCTTGTTTAACACAAAAGTTGTTATTAGAAGTAATATATTTTTCTAGATTGTATTAGCTACGAAATTAATAGCTGAATTAGTTACAGCCCACTTTACACATCAATACTACTTGAAGCTACTGGAAGCAAATTAAAGCAAATACACTGTTAAAATAAAGAAAATAAAGAAAATACTGTAAACAAGGAGAACTTTTTTTACAATATGTTGAGAAATATATAAACTGCATCTTCATAACTATTGCTGTAGCATTATGAAGTTTGAAAAAAAATGTCAAATCAACACATATATGTGAACGAAAATAAATATTGCATAAACATGCAAAAGAGTATACAAACCAATAATCAGGGAAAGCTTTCTTCGAGGATGAGGTAGTACGTCTAGCGCAGAATGTATCCATTAAAAAATTGTCAGTATTTATTTACAAAATCTCTTCATACAATAATTGAAACAGTTGTACAATACTAATAAGAGTACCCGTCTTTTCTTTAATATCACAGTACCTATTTACATTTAGTACAATATTTACAATTTGTTAAGATTCAAAACACTATTGCATAAATCTTTCCTGCAAATTACTTACAATTCTTAAACAGTTGTACTACATTTTAACATATTCTCTCTCTGATTCAATTTTTTTTATTCAGTCTTGTTATTTAGTATATTTATATTACATTACGAATATTACTTGTGCAGAGTAATTTTAAGTTCACAGCCTGTTTTATTTGCCCGCGAGACATTCTAATTTTTTATAGTCATAGAAATATGCTCTTTAAATTGTTAATTACATTACAATTAAGTTAGTACTTTTATATACAATTTTTGATTAGCGACTTTAACGACTTTATACCGGCCTTTGTTAGTACACTACAGTATTAAAAATGCAAATAAAGAAAAAAAAACAAGCGTGAAAGGTCAAAGAAAGCCGACACCTTATTATTATATAGTTACAATTAAAGAGATAACAACGTTCTTTGGTGTTACAATCATTTTACTGTAACTCCGTCAAGCAGTGGGATTATTACAGTTTCGCACGTACTTTGAAAGCATAGTAGTCGTATGTGCATACCTGGACAACGTCGAGGTAGATCTATGCATAATCGGCATTACTGAATCGTCCAAACCACGGTGAAGTGATATCGCGTCCAGATCTATCATTCTTGCCGTGGTGTGGGCGCGTACCGCTGTTAAATATTCGGCGGTTTCTAAACTAGCTTTTGTTGGTTTACGATACCTAGAAACAGATCAGAAAATATTGATTTATTTTTCCCTATTCCCATCAAGTATTCGCTTCCATTCGACACTTACAATTTTAACAGTAAAGAACTTCCAACTACAGACACGGAACTTAAAGCCATGGCCGCTGAAGACATCCAGGGTTGTAAAAAGAATCCAAAAGAACTAAATATTCCAGCCGCTATAGGGATACCTAATAAATTGTAAATACTGGCGAAAAGGAAATTCAGCCTTATTCGACGAACCGTTTTCCTCGACAGATCCAGGCATGCAATGACATCCAGAAGATCGTTCTGTGGAAATTCGAATACGTCAGGACACTAGAGTTTGTGGACAGATTGTCTGGAAAAGAAACTGCTATAACTCACTCGCATGAGAACTACATCAGCAGCTTCTACGGCAACGTCTGTACCGGAAGCTATCGCGATACCAACATCCGATTGCGCAAGAGCAGGACTATCGTTGACGCCATCCCCTACCATGGCGACTCTCCAGCCTTGGTCTTGCAGTCGTTGAATTTTTGCAACCTTGTGCGAAGGTAACACTTCCGCGAATACCCTGGTGATACCAACCTGAATATTTACAGTTAACGTTGAAACTTTGCGGGAGAGAATGAATAAATTTCCACACTTTCATGTACTCACCTGTCTAGCGATAGAAGCAGCAGTCTTCCTGTTATCCCCTGTTAAAAGTATCACTTCTAAACCCATTTTCTTCAGTGTATAAATTGCTAAATGTGCTTCCGGCTTGACCGTGTCAGCCACGCTGATCATTGCTACTAAGACATTATTCACTGCAGCTAAAACTGCCGTGTGACCCAAGTCTTCCTCGCCGGTCATTCGCATGTCTACCTCTGGAGGTATATTTACAGCGTTCCGTCGCATCCACTCTCTATTGCCAATGCATATCTCATACGCATCTTCGGTGTTGACTTTATCACCGTGGGAGTCAGGACTCAGCAATAGTTCCAAGTTCAGATTTTGCCTTTCTTGACTGGCGCTGGCGATTGTCACGGCGTCAATCGACACGTCGTTCAAATTGTACGTTCCGGAAGACAACTTCTTAGCATGATTCGTATAGTTAATGATTTTCTCGGACTTCATAGCCTCGGCCAAAGTGCTTTCTATGTGGGACACTTTGCACTTGAGACCGCACCCAGCGACCGCTTGGAAATTCGAACACTTTCCGGTTGACTCGGAACCGACAGTCCCTTTCACGTAACGGACGATTGCTGAAAGAAGCGTAACGGTACAATAGCGATCTCTTTTAATCGTACGAAGACATCGAAATCATTTTTTAAAGGAAGCTTACCAGATGCGATTGGGTGCTCGCTGTTAGTCTCCGCCGTGCAAATGATGACTAAAAATTTCGCTAAAGAACAGACTTTCTCATCTACAAACAGACCTATTTTTGTCACCATTGGCACTCCGTGCGTTATCGTGCCCGTTTTGTCAAACACGATGCACTTGACTTTGTGCGCATTTTCCAAGGGTTCGGCACCTTTGATCAAAATCCCGTTCAGCGCTCCGACTCCGGTACCGACCATAACGGCGGTCGGTGTGGCCAGACCTAACGCGCATGGACAGGCGATCGCTAACACGGACAGGGCGCTCCGGAAAGCGTACTGAAATATAATCTCTTCTCTGTTCATGCCGTGTTTATTGATCTGATCGTTGTGCGAAATCGGCAATTTGTCTATATTTACATGCCCTACTATTATCCAAATAATTAAAGTCACTATGGACACAACGATCACCATGGGAATGAAGTATCCTGCAATCTTATCGGCTAAGTGCTGAATAGGCGCTTTATTCGTTTGCGCTTCTTCGACTAAACGAACGATTTGTGCGAGCGTCGTGTGCTCGCCCGTATGCGTCGCGGTGATCAATAACGGACCGTTCTGATTGATCGAGCCACCGATCACCACCGAGCCCTTCTTTTTCGGTACCGGCATACTTTCTCCGGTGATCAGACTCTCGTCGCACGTCGAATGTCCCGAGAGCACCCTACCATCCACCGGTACCTTAGCACCTTGAAATACTTTTAACACGTCCCCACGCTGCACCAGATCTATATTGATCAATCGTTCGGACAGTATTTCATTGTTGGGACCTAAAGTGACTAAGACTGCGTCCGTTGCTTTCAGGGACAATAACTTTGACAATGCTTCTGAGGTCTTGCCCTGAAAGAGTTGTACACCTTTGTTATTCTACTTGCAATTGGAACCGTGCGAGGCGATCCAAGAAACATGATTTTCTGAAAACTGTTCGCACCTTTGCAACGTGCTCCAGCCATCTTCCTAAACTGATGAAGACCAGCAACATCGGCGGAGTGTCGAAAAACGTTAAAGGACTAACGTGCGCTTGCATTATCATGGCCGCAGCGAGCACCGCCACCGAGTACAAGTAAGATATCGTGGTGGTCATCGAAATCAGGACGTCCATGTTTGTCGAGCCATGTTTCAGAGCTTTGTACGCTTGGACGTAAAAGTGCCAACCGCCAAAGAACTGCGAGTATCATTCCAATTAACAAACGAATGCTCAAAGCTACATGGAAGGATGTTGACAATTACCTGCACCGGTGTAGAAAATATAAAAAGTAGTAAGTTCTCCCAGGAGAGACCAGGTACCACGCAGCACATGTCCTCGTGCGACTTCTCGCCAACGGACATAACCACCATGAAGTACGTCATGGCCAGCATGCACGGTATGCCGAATATCAGAGACACCAAGAATGCCGTTCGCCATTTCTTTATCTCTTCTCTATGAAAACAAACAGAACATAATTATATAATTATATCACACTCCATTCTATTGTTTCCCAAGCTTCAGTTAACACGGGCTACCGTGCATACCTCTGATCCAAATAGTCTCGGTTCTCCTTGTCTTTATTGCTAATTACCGTCGCGGTGAAGCCTAACTGGTTGATGCATTCGACGATGTCCCTGAGGCCAATTCTCTCCACGTCGAACTTGAATTTGCCTCGCTGAGTGGCCAACGCGACCGCGGCCGAATGAACGCCAGCCAGCTTCTTCACGGTCGATTCTATTTTATTGACGCACGACGCGCACGTCATCCCTGCGATCTGATCATCGGATAATTAAATTTCGTACAAACAGATTAAATTTCATCGCGCTTCCTCTCGGCGAAAGACCCTTACTTTCAGTTCTATCTCTCCCTCCCCGCTCCCCGGCTCCTCGATCAGCGTGGTGGGGAAGCCCAACTCGGATATGCTGGAGGCGATGTCGACCGCCCTTATTTTATCCGGGTCATACGTGATCTCCGCCTTGGCGGCCATCAGTGCCACCAAGATGCTGTTCACGCCGTACAACTTTTTACAATGTTTCTCTATGGCAGCAACACAGGAAGCGCAGGTCATTCCCTTTAGAAAATGAATCGATACTCGGCGTCAAAGCGTGAACGCATTGTCAACCGCGAGACGCGATACACGGAAACTCGAGGACGCGTGTTTTGTGTGTCGTACACGCATTCGAGATTCGACGATCAAATCGGACCGTGAACAGTCGTGAATTAACGCGTTGTCCGCCGCAACTTAGTCCTTCACAACGAAGATTTGACATTGTTAGAATTACGTTCAAGCAACTTGCAAGTCAGCAGCGCTCGACGTGTCAACAACTTTATCAACGCTGTTTACGGTTCACGAATGCATTGGAAAATTATTCAAAAAGGTAAACGCAGCCAAGCGCAGTGGAATCTTTCTGTAGAATCGAAGGACGATTCTTTTGTGTTTAATGGAAACCATTTGTCTTATCGCTGTGTCTACTTTTTTGACCCGTTGACAACTCGTGGTATACGTGATCGATACGTTCAAGCAATCTATTTAAATAGACCGACCATTTTACTTCCTTGTAACGATTCTCGCGGCCAGTCGGTTTGGGAAATTACATAACGCCTACGTGCATCGAAGAACAAAGAATTCTGGCTCGACGAATCGCACGGTTAATACGATTAATTGCCGACACGGGATATTTACCGTGATATGCAGGTAACATTTGGCTACTTGGGACTCTATTTTCACGTCTCCAGCGCCGTTCATTTGCGGCGCGACCTCTCCGTTCGCTACATTATTGTTCTTCGACGGCGTGTCCAGCTTGGTTTCAAGGACCCTGCCGTTTACTTCCTTCACGAACGCGTTGAAGCCCATGTCTTCTATGGATTCAGCTATTTGCTCCGCCGTTAGATCGTTCCCGTTGTAGACTACCTTCGCTTCCTTGTCTTCTAGACTAACGTTCACCTCGCTTATCCCTGGCTTCTCCGATAAAACACCTGCAAGGGAATACGACTGGTTAACGATTTTATTTCATAAAACGGACAGCCAGAAACTCTGTCTCTCAACTACGGAATATGAATGTCGACTTATCAAGCCTAGCTCAGTCAACGTAATTGCAGCTTATCGCTATCAAATATTCTCGCAACCGAACAAAACAAAACCAGTCTTATTGCAAGTGTTGCGTGGCCAAAAGACTCGCCACGTGCTAAGCAAAATAATAATAAGACTGATTTTAAACATGAAAAGCTAGTCAATGAACCGGTAAAACCTGAAAAAATTCGAAGAATTCGACAGAACAGGTTTGCCCGATGAGCGGCTCATTCATCATTGAAAGGGAATTGCCCGTACCCGTAATGGTCTTCACGCAGGACATGCAAGTCATGCCGTCGACGTGTATGCTGCAAGCGCTGACCGACGGTTCCAGCTGGTCGGCTCGCAGGTCGGCCTCCTTCGAAGGGTCAGCCTGGTCTTTCGATAGCGACGCGACGAACCCCATGTCCTCTATGGCTTCGAGCAGTTCGGCGGGAGTAATCTCGTCTGGCTTGTAGTCGATGTAGGCGGTCTTCTCCTCCAGCAGGACTTTCACGGCGAGGACCTCGGGTCGGCCGGCCACCGTTCCCTCGATGTTCTTCACGCAACTCTGACACCGCATACCCTCGATATTGACCCTCACCGTCGCGGCATTCGAGGAATCTTCAATATCCCCGGAGCGGGGCACGCGGACCGAATGCGTCGTGCCTTCGAAGTCGGCGTCGTCGTCATCGCCATCCCTGCGCATTGTGCGTCCATCATCTGGTTAATCGTTACGATTTATCTTTATTACGCGAACGAACACGATGTCCGCGAGCGAGCGGCGATAAAGAGTAAGCTTGAAATTGGACTTCTGATTAACGCTGGAACTACTAGGTAGTTAACCCTTTCAATACCACCGGCGATTGTCATCGGCGCACGGCAGTAATTGTCTTTCAGTGTCGTCGTGTTTTAACCCTTTTAGTGCCGGGCGAAAAACGGGTGCCTGTGCGAAGATAACCGGACGAATTTATTAAGATTTATTATCGATATATCGTCGTCCGACACTGAAAGGGTTAAACTATACAGTTCTCGTTTGTTCTCCGAGGAAGACGAACGAAATCTCTCGATCAGAGCTGCAGGGAGAATTCGAGAGAAAGGGTTGAACTTCTCCAAGTTCCTCCGCTTCTTTTCTAACGAAGCAAGAGATCAGGCTGATTTCGAGCCACTCGGTAGTTCCAGCGTTAATCACCGTTCTTTCAGTTCGCGATTACGTGGCTCGATCATTTGTACTCTAACGAGTTCGAGAAGTTTCGATCCTCTTTGAAATTTCTAACCGGAAACCACGAATATTGGGAACGTTGTTTCGTTCTCCGTGTATTGTCCGCGACGAGCGCGAATGGTTATCGGTAGTTTCCTATAAAAGAAAAAAATAGCTCATTATCGGGCAAGGTTTCGAGCCTCGGCGAGCCGTTATCGCGAAAGTGGCGGCGAATAATCGTGGAAACGCGTTTACTTCCTGCTGCGTTCGTCTGTTCGTCGGCTCGAATGTTAACGAACGCTGTAAATTCGCGGTATCCAAACGAATTTCGAATATGTAATCAGCTGCAACGCAGAGCTGCGCAAACAACCAAGATTGCGACCTTCCTCTCTCATCGCCCATCAATCTCAACTGTTCTTTTCGTTTTATCGCGAGAATATTGTTCGGTTCATAGGAATTATATACGTAGATCCAATTAATAGATTCCAACAACACTCGAGGCGACTCGCTTCAACGTTGATCGCGATCATTATAATTATCATCGGCCGACAACGAACTAAAGGGCTGCTTCACGAGCTTTTCTGTATCTTTATGTTGTTTGTTCGAGTAATTCAATCATCTGTTTGCGATTTAGTGTCGACATTCGTCCGCAGAAGGTCGTTAAGATACACTTGTTTCGCGTTCAAATTGAATCGGAGCGTTATCGCGGCCGAAGATGGCCCAACCGAAGCTTACCAGAAATCCTCCATCTCCTCGTGAGATTTCTCTATCAAGAGCTGCCTGCTTTCGTCCGCCATTCTCGAGTACATCGCGATGCAACGTCGACTGTTCCAAGATGAAAACTCTTTCGGACGTGTTTCCGTCACGATTGCAGAAAAACCGGCAATAATTCGATTGCGAAACCAACGGACGTATCGCTATCCAGTCCGATGACGCGAAATTCGTTTTAATCGGTCGTTCCGAGATAGAAACGTCTAGGAACGCTGCGCGATATTCGAATCTATTTACAAGGAAGCTTATCGACCCCGGGAGTTACGATAAACTAAATCCCTCATTTTCTTCGAGGGTCCTTTCATCCCCTAAAACTGACGTTGAACACGAACAAAGAATAACCGTGTATTAGACTGGACTTACTCCACTTACGCGAAGTTTCATAATTTTCTGCAATTCTGGTTCGATAGGTTTCCTCGTTAGCGGATTTCCTACTGCTGAGAACGTCAGAGGAAATATTTCTGATCGAGAAGATGCGTCAGAGTTCAATTCGAGCGACTAGTCTCAGTTTCCTTATCTCTTATTTCAATTATTGGTATCTTAAGAATATTAAGTGAATGATTTTGAAACTAGTTTCACTCGAGTACAATGAACATCCAAAGAAACCGAGAAAAATCGATTACCATTTCCATAAGGATTACACGGAGCATGAATTTTCTCGATTCGTTTTCTGGACCGAACCGCATTGGCTTCCGAGCGACTCGCGTGTCGACCGTATTAATTGCTCGGCAGTTCTAGCGTTAAAGTATCATTCCGATCGTGAGAAGATCACGGAACCGGCAAGTACAGTCATCCAGGAAGTCCCCGGCGATTTCTGTCTGAATGTTTCTGTGAATGACGTCGCGAGAACGGCCGAAACGTACGTGGGGCGATGACGCGAAACGAAAGGAGGCTCGTTCGCGTGTTTATCGGGCACGTTTCGGCGAGAAAAATCTCGACTTCACGGGTACTCGATTCACCGTGACGATTCCGGCGTTCCGTGACCGCGTCGGATCACGTTCCTCGAAAGCGAAGCGGTTCCGGTGATTCGTGAACGCGAGCCGCGCGGCCGTGTGCTCGACTCGAATTGATATCAGCGGCCGACTGATAACTCATGTAATCGCGTATCGGTTCGCGGTTGCTGCTCGGTTCTCTTGCTCACGGCACCTAAACCGATACCCTAACAGCCGTTGCACACGCAGCTGGATTTTTCGTTGCGCGAGTCGCTTCGCTTCGCGCTCGACTCTCGGAGTCAATTTTCTAGACTCGATCCACCCTGTATCTAAATCTTCCACTCGAAATTCATCCTCTCGCAAATGAAATCGAGTGCTACATACATTTTACTGAAAAAACACCAACGGTTCATTAGTTCGTAAGAAATGAAAAAGATCGCCGGAGATCTTCCGGAGAAACCGGACGCGCGGCGGGAGAAAAGGAGATTCGAGAATCGACTCGTCACACTTTCTGCCTGCGGCACTTTCGCGGAGATTCACGTGCCGCGGTCCTACGCGTCAATTCGTTAGAATTTCTACCGGGTTCTTGCTTGGAAATTCGGTGGACGCGCTGAGCGTGTAAACCGGAGAGGACACGTCCGAAGACGTCTACGCGGCGAGGAGAACGCGACAGAGCTGCGAGCGAAAGCTCGTCCAACCCGTCCGACCCAACCGGACCAAAAATTCTTTTCCAGCTGCACCGAAACTCGGTCGAATCGTTCGTCGGGGCAACTCGGTTACTTTCGACGGATCCTTGAATCGCGTTCAGAAGCAAGCTACTAACCCGATCAGCTTCCTGCCCTCGTCCTCGGCGACCTCGCGAGCCCGCGACCAGGAAGAGAATCCTCCTCGGATGCTGAGCAAAGTGCGGCCCGCGGATTTCGCTCGGTGCACCAGCGGCACGGCGTACCTTGTAATCCTAGTCCGATCCATTATCAGCCAGGTATCTAGACGCTTGTGAGCCGAATTACTCAACACCGATTCGTTATCGCGTAATCGAGGACGGTGACGAGGACGATGATGCCGGAACCAACCAACGGAGGAAAATAGACGACGCGAGCACGACTTATCCGCGGACTGCCACTCGTTATCGAATCCTCGAAGCAGAGTCAACTGTCTGGTTGAAGGCTTAAGGCATTTTCGAGGGAAACAAAGTCTACCGTTTGTTTCGCCTGGTGCCTCGTGTCTCCGATTAATTCCTGCAACTTTGCATCACATGGCAAACACAGGAACGACACGATCGCTCGGTGCTCAGCGTTCGTTTCTAGCTGCCTCTGTTCGATCTCGGAGCTACTCGATGGACGAGAGGATACTTCGATGATACGTCGATTTATCGTGATGCTTGGAGTCGACGGAGCTTCTCGGTCCTCTCTTCTTGCAACCGTTTATCGAGAGTGTCTTGGTCTATTAGGTTGTCACGTATGAAACGTCCGATTTTTGGGATCGGCTTGAAACGAACGGAAATCCATCGAGATAATCGTAGATTTCTTCTGCTTGGTAGTCTAGCTGCTACAACTCTAAGGCGTTGTTACCTTGAGCGCTCGAGGAGCAGATTAGAATTCACCGAACATACTGAAATTGTGTTCCGTTTCAGCGTGCAGTTGAACGGCTGCCGGCAGCGGCACTTTCACAAAAATGAAACGAGCGACGCGAGGATTTTATTCATCGATAATAGTATCGCGGCTAGATTGCACCGGCTCGGATTAATTCGAAAGTATCGTGGGAAGAGACACGCGTCTCGTTGTAACCGTTCTTTCGTCTCGCGATCGATCCAACTTTTACACCGATTAATCAGAATTCTTGGATCGCGCTGGTATCGACTTACTCGGATTATTAAGCGTTCTCACTGAACATCATCAGTGAGCTTACGTATTGTAATTGCTTTCAAGGAATTCTTCACTATCTTCACTATCCTGCCTCTTTCCCTTCGGTTTTCGAGTAAATCACTTTCAATATGAATTTGTTTAACGATAACCGAACAATCGGTAGCGCGACGCGCGCGGGAGAACGGCGAACGCGAGAACGGGACGTGTTCAACAGGTAGAAACTGTCGCGGGAACCGGCGTTTCGACGGAACTATTTAGATACACCTGAGAGAATGGTCTCGCCGTGTATCACGTGGACGAGAGAGAAAGGAGTGCTCCAGTTCCATATACAGGGTGGGTCGTCTAACACCGGAACCTAAAATATCTCCGTCGTTTTCGGAGCGAACGAATTTACGCGAAAAACTTCGCTTCGGAGAGTCTCTAACTCCGCGCCGAGGAAAGTTCAACGGAAATCTCGGGAAACGGAGCCATCGCGACAAAGTGGCATCATTATCGTAACGTTTGTTCCATTGTACGCAACATCTGTTATTTTGTAACGTTGCCTGTGTCATTAAACGCAACAAGATACATCCTAAGCCGTAATTTCGGATGACTCACCTCCTGCGAGGCGCGCGATTTCAACGGTAAATCACGACTACCGTCGAGGAAAGAATGGGAAAAATGGTAAAATCGATTATTAACGCGAAGTTTCCGTGTTTCTGGTGTCTATCCAACACCCGGGACTTGGTGCGGTGTGTTAAATCCAAAAACCTGTAACGTTATGCGCGATCACGTTGCCACGAGCACGGCGAAACCGATCGAACGAAACTCCAACGGGTTTCTCGACGAATCGGTGTCCAGAAATTGTGAATCTGTTCGAAAGATCTCGTCCACTCTTCGGAGTCGAGTCAACGATAATTCTAGAGAATGAACTTACCCAAAATTCCGAATAGGAGTCAGACGTGTGTAATTCCAAGCGGAGTAAAACGTCCGCACGACGTTACGAACGGGCATCGCGTCGTAAAGTTTGATGATACGTTCGAACCGTGCGTAATTACTTGTGGTAATTACATTCGTACAGTCTCCGCTACAAGTTCGACCATGGAAATTTCACTCGTCGAGCAGCTGACCGTTTTACCCTGCACACCCCCAACGCGACTAACGGCTGATTCGAAGAATCTTGAAAAGATTCTCGCGCGTTTCCGATTTGCTCTTCGAATATATTCGATCGAGGACGTTAATTTTCAGGAGAAACGTTCACATTGTTCTTCGAGTATACCGAAATCGTTCGCGTAGACGCGTATAGAATATACGGGAACCCATTGATGATTTTCGCGAGCAAACTCGTTAGGAAGGCGGGCAGGAATCGCACTGAAACGAAAACCGGAGGAAGCGCGGTTCAGAAGGAGCGATTCGAAGCGAGCGAACAATCGGCGGAGATCGAATTTCGAAAATCGATCTAGCTTTTGTTTGCATTAGAAAATAACGCCGCCGCGAACGTCGAGCCAATGTATTTTGAAACACGATAAGCCAATAACATCCTGCCCGTTCCCGTTCTTTTCTCGGCGCGCCGATTCGCAATTACGATCGTGCATTTGCTAAGTTCAATCGAACCGCGCGTTAAGGCGTGTACGTTAACACTAAAACTACCGAGCACTTCAATCGACTTTTGAAAATTTCGCTATAGAAACTCCAAGAGTGTATCTTTTCAGACTTTAATTGATTTACAATTTGCGTAGTGCTGAATGAATTTCTTTAATAATTTCTCAGAGAAACATTTGTTACCTTTCTAATAATTGCGAAAAGAAGACATCAGGCATGGGTCATTTGACCCCTCTGGTAGTTTTAGTGTTAATTGCAGAGGCATATACGAGCATTCCCTTACGGCTGCTGGCACTGCACTCTGAAAACCCAATGTTCTATTCCGCCATGTAAACCCGATGACGTTCGAAACGAGAATGAATAAACGGCAAATTGAAATTTCGCAGTTACACTGCGCGCGACCTTCGTTGATTACCGATAACCATGTCAATTATAAAGACGATAACAATACCGGGGATACTAAGGCATTTGACTCCTCCATTGAAAGTGCATCGCTACGTTCGGCTGAAGTTAATTCCGGACTGTCTCGCTGTGGAAGAGCCTTTACTTGTAGATAAGGAATTACTAATGTTATAGTACATTGTAATATGATCGTTATACGTTGCCGTGTATTATAAAACATCAGTTAATGTCGATAAGACGCGGCGGACGCTCACCACGGCAGAGTTTAATCGGTATAGCTGTAATTTTAGATTCTAGATATCAAGCTTTCTCAATCATTTTCTAATGTTCATTGAAGAGTAAACAGCTCCAAGCAGAGTTTCAATTTGATTGTAAGATTAAAAATAAATTAATATTCTGAATGTTATTGTTTGATTGATGAAAGCTTATTGTTCTTGCTATCGATGATAATGTTTGAAACAATCACTCACCCATCTTCTGTTGCTGCTGTTTCTACTCTTGTTTTTATTGGCCTGTCCCTTTGTCCTGAAATACAAATGTTTTATAAGTATGTATGTAATATGAATAGACTGTTGAAAATATATCTGTTGTAAGTAAACTGCATATGTTTACGTAAATTAACATTCCTTCATATAAGTTTATAACAGAAGTGCAGCAAAGTGTAAATTTCTTTAATTATTTTGTTTTCATATTAGGATATGTAGCCTTCACGGATTGCATGTTGATCACATGCCATAAATGTATAAACATGCGCAATCAAATTATAATACGTAGATCTTATTCAAGAAAATACCAAGTACCCGCATTTGTTTCTCCTCCTTGGCAGTTACCTTCTAACAGTTCCTTTGTGTTGGTCACTTCCATTGTTCACTATAACATAAAAATACAAATATGATGTGCTTATATATAAGCATATGATGCGACATATTACAGCAAAGTTTTGCTAGTTACTATTTATATATTTTAAGAAATTAAAGTATGTCATATGTTATTGTTATGTTTCTAGAAAACTAATAGAAAACTGAATAATGGACTATGGTAAATCACTACTG